ATAAAGTAGCTAAAGCATCAGCCAATTGATTCTCCTCACGAGAAATATGTTGGAAAGTAATTTCATCGAAGTACTCCACCAACTTTCTGATATAGGCTTAATAAGGGATCAATTTGGCATATCGAGTCTCCCATTCACCTTTTAGTTGGTGTATAACCAAGGCTGAGTCACCATATACCTCAAGAATTTTGATCTTTGACTCTATAGGTACTTGAATTCCCATAGCACATGCTTTATATTCAGCTACATTATTCGTACAATCAAATGATAATCTAGCTGTGATCGAAATATATTGCTTCTCTGGAGAAATCAGTATAGCACCAATCTCGTGTCCGAGTGCATTAGAAGCACCATCAAACATCATGACCCATTCATCTCTTGCTGAAGATTCTTTCTCATTGAGCAATGCCATTATATTTTCATCAGGAAATTCGTACTGTATTGACTGATAATCATTCACCGGTTGATGAGCTAGGAAATCTGTAAGAGCACTGCCTTTGATTGCTTTTTGAGTAACATACACAATATCATATTCTGACAATAAGACTTGCCAACGAGCAATCCTTCCAATAAGGGCTGGTTTCTCAAAGATGTATTTGATTGGGTCGATTTTTGACACCAACCAAGTAGTGTGACTCAACATATATTGCCTTAACCTACAAGCTACCCAAGCCAAGGCACAACAGGTTCGCTCCAACAAACAATATCTAGCTTCATAATTAGTGAACTTCTTGCTCAAATAATAAATGGCATGCTCTCCCCATTCATCATGCTGACCTAAAATACATCCCATGGATCCTTCTAACACTGTCAAATACATAATAAGCGGCCTCCCTAACACTAGCGGCACTAGTATCGGGGGATTTTGCAAATATTGCTTTATCTTCTCAAAAGCTTCTTGACAATTATCATTCCACTCCATCGACTGATTTTTCCGTAACAACTTAAAAATTGGTTCACAAGTGGCAGTTAGTTGGCATATGAATCAGGCAATATAATTCAATCTCCCCAAAAATCCACAAACCTCCTTTTCAGTGCGAGGAGGCAGCATTTCCATGATTACTTTTGCCTTGTCAGGATCAACCTCTATTCCCTTTTGACTTACTATGAATCCCAACAACTTGCTTGATTTCACCTTAAAGGTACATTTGGCAGGGTTCAAACACAATTTGAATTTCCTCAACTACTCAAACAACTTGTGTAAATTCACCACATGGTCTTCTTCAGTCCTTGATTTGGCAATCATATCATCCACATAGACTTCAACTTCCTTGTGCATCATATCATGAAATAACGTCACCATCGCCCTTTGATATGTTGCCCCAACATTTTTCAAATCGAAAGGCATGACCTTATAGCAAAAGGTACCCCAAGGCGTAATGAATGTGGTCTTCTCCATATCCTCTTCAGCCATTTTGATCTGATTATAACCCGAGTAACCATCCATAAAAGAGAAGAATGAATGTTGAGCTGTATTATCTACTAGCATATCAATGTGAGGCAATGGAAAGTCATCTTTAGGGCTGGCTCTATTTAGATCCCGATAGTCAACACACATCCAAACCTTTCCATCTTTCTTAGGAACTGGCACAATGTTAGCAACCCATTGAGGGTATTTAGCAACAACAAGAAAACTTGCATCAAATTGCTTCTTGACCTCCTCCCTAATCTTCAATGACATCTCAAGTTTCATTTTCCTTAATATTTGCTTAACTGGGAAACACTCTGGCTTCAGCGGCAATTTATGCTCGACTATATCCACATCTAGGCCTGGCATATCTTGATAAGACCATGCAAAGACATCACTATAATCATGCAAGAGTTTAATCAACTTGTCACGCTCTTGTTTTTTCATGAGGGTGCCTATTTTGATTTCTTTCTTATCATTTTCAGTCCCCAAATTAATCGTCTCAGTAGGTTCGTCATGAGGTTGGATCTCTTTCACTTCTTGATCAACCAATCTTAGAAATTATAAGGATAAATCACCATCACTATCATCTTTGACAGCTTGATTAATGGGACAATCAAGATTAATGGATGAGATATTAGCTACTTTCAGACATGTCATTTTCGGATCTGCATTGTGTGAGAATTGAGACAAAAAGAAAATAAACGACAAGATTCAAATGATAAAGAATAAAAAGACATGAAAGATTACTGAGAATTCAAATTGCATTTCATTTAAATATACTTAAAAAGAAACATGTGTCCTAACTTACAAAACAAACTGATATCTTAAATTACAAAAAGAAAACATATATCAGTTTTTTTTCAAAAAGTAATGATATCCTAAAGCTTTGGGACAAAACAATCGGATTAACTTCAAGGATTACTTTGAATAGCTATTAAAAATCACAGGTAACTCGATGATCTCCCAATTGCCAACTTCTGTGTTTGGCGGACAAGTGTGGACTAGGTCCACAACCTCTTTTTCAGGTGCATCCGCATCAACAGCAGCCACTGAGTCTTGAAACTCAAATCCAGCACTATAGAAGCTCTTCAGAAGATCACAAATAGGGACCCCTTCAGTCTTAGGTTCCCTACCTTCCAACCTGGCTAATCTTCTTTCTTTCTTTTCCTCCATGACTCTCCTCTTATCAGCTTTAGTGGGCGAGTATCCTAACCCAAATCTATCCTTATTCTCATGGAGCTGTAACCAGTTTGCTGCTTTCGTGATGGTTTTTCCTAACACGTATCCATACTGACAACCTCTGTCAAGCATGACTTTAGCAATCATTATGGATGTATTAGACAATTGAGGCTTTACGACTAAGGCTCCCTCTCCAACATAAGTAGCATTTACAATCTTTAAAGCCTGAAAAGAGGTCTCTAGAGCTTCTTCAGTAGCTTCAATGTAAGGAGTGGACGAAGGCTTACTCACCAACACATCTTCTTCACTAGAGATAATCACCAACTTATTATCAATGATAAACTTCAATTTCTGATGCAATGTGGATGGTACAACTCCAGCAGAATGAATCCAAGGCCTTCCCAAAAGACAGCTATAAGCTAGTGCAATGTCCATTACTTGAAACAAAATTTGAAAAGTACAAGGACCAATTTGGATTGGAGTTTCAATTTCTCCAATGACCTCCCTCCTTGTTCCATCAAAGGCCCTTACTATCATGGCACTGGGCTTCATATACGACCCTTCACAAGGTAATTTTGACAATGTTGCTTTTGGCATCACATTCAGAGAAGACCTGTTATCAATAAGCACTCTAGCGATAATGTGGTCTCAATATTTCACAGAAATATGCAGTGCTTTATTGTGCCCTGTTGTTCGCTATCTAACACTAGTAAGTGCACTAGGATTGCAGCAAGTGATGAGTAAATTTAAGATCCAAATATCGTCTCCACAGGGAATTTAGGTTTCAAGTACCACTTCACAGAATTATAACCATTTGAGCCATACAAATTTGAAAGGAGAGTTGTAACATACAAAAGTAATAAACCAAAACAATTAAGAGTAAAGAAAAACGTGCAGAAAACAGATCAATGAATGCAATATAAGATTAGAAATGGATTGAAAGGTAGTTAGGAATTTACTTCACAAGAATGTCAATATTAATTCAATTATGCTTCTGAAAATTCAAGAACGTGGTTAATTAACAATCAGTTTCGCATTTTAATAGCCAAAGGTTAATCCCTTAACTCATTGACCCTAACAAGCAACTAAACCACCCTAATCCCTTAGGTGAAGTTCAATTTCAAGTTGCATTAAGACTTAGAACCTTAAGATTGCAGAATTAGGTCTCCTTATCCCTAAGAAATCCCTAAATTTCGATTGCAAACTCAGATCAAAGAATCAAATCCAACTTCCATTGGTAAATGTTCTTCTTTAATGAACCATACGAATTTCCATTCATAGATTGCAAGAAAAGCAGAATTCACAATTCAATTAATCTCAAAATTCAGAAGCAAGAATCAAATCAATACATCAATTCGAGTTTCATAAACCCCTAACTACAAGAAAACTATTCAGACATGGGAGAAGAGAAAGAGAAAGAAGAAGAAGAAGAAAAACTCCAAAAAGCCATGGCCGGAAGCTCTAATCCGATTTCTCTTTGTGGAAGCTTTAAGACTTGACCCCAATCTTCTCTCTCAATCTCTCTGAATGAAAATCTAACAGAAAAACAGAAAATAAAACTGAATTCCTAAAAATCTGAGCACATCTGGTATTTATAGAAATTTCCAGATTTGCGCGTTATCACTTTTATGAAAAATAGTAGCTACGCAGAAGGTTTATGGTTGCGCGTTAACACTTCTATGAGAAAAAGTGGCCACGTGCAACTTTTTTGATATTGAGAGCTCTCTGGAACTATCACTCTTGCTGATAAAAGTGACAACGCGGACTCAAGTGGTTGCGCGTGATCACTCTTATGAATAAAAGTAATTACGTGCAACTTGCCAAGTTGAAGGTTGTCTGGAACGATCACTTTCGACGACAATAGTGGTTACGCAGAACTTTCCTGATATTTTGCCTTTCTAGAACGCTCACTTTTATTGATAAAAGTGATGACGCCCAGGCTTTCATCTTCTTTGAACTCTGAAGTGATCACTTTCACTGACAATAGTGATCTCAGTCTGCATTTTCTTGTTCTTGTGTTTTTGGAGTCCAGACTTGCTTATTTCCTCTTCCTTGTCATCAAGCCTCTATTTTCATGAACCTTGCTCGAATTATTCCTTCAAAAACAAGATAAAAAACTTAATTCCTAAGCAAAAATTCCATAATTGCTAAGATAACTACAATTTTAAAGAAAACTTCTGTTCATTCTCTTTTTCTGAGTTTTTCTGCTTTCTTCATATATTTTTCTTATCAAATGAGTTAGAATTATGCTAAAATATCAATAAAAATATGGATTCATCATGCCCCATTCCTTCAGCAGGTACTTCATCATCAGTGAAGGTGAGATAATTGTTTGAAACAATATTACCAACAATGCCTCTAAATTTGTCAGTAGTGATATCATGGCTGACATGAGCCTCATTTAACACCTTCAACAGACACTGTCTTTTTTTATTTCAGGCATTTTCTCTTCGTCAGCATCTTCAAACTCGCCCAATTTGGCTTTCCCTTTTGAGGATCTCTCTATCTCTTTTGTTCGCTCTTTTCTCAGCTCCTCAGGTGTATAAATACGACCATTGCGGGTCATCCCACCAACACCAGTAATGTTTGAGACAGCGAGAGTATCAGAATTGACACCTTGTGTTTGGTTTTCCTTAAAATTGCCGACATAAATCCCTGCATCATACTTCATTTTTCCCCTTAGGATGCCCAATTTGGACCAAATGCTTGTCCATCAGGGTTTGTAGAACATGCTTGAATTCTTCACAATCTTCAATGGAGTGGTCTGCATTAAGATGCAAATCGCACATACTTTCTTTATGTACAAAACCTTTGATCAAGTCAACCTTGTACAACTCAGCAAAAATAATCTTAAGAGAAGTGGTAACCTCTTCAATTTTCCTATTTAAAACATGGGCATACTGTTCCTTGATGGCATTTACCGATGGTCCTCCATGCCCGGATAGGGGATTACTCCTAATGTTAGGATTATCCTCCTTGAAATTCAACTATTTGGCATTAATTAAGTCTTGCACCTTGAACTTTAAAGCCCTACAGTTCTCTGTCGAATGACCAATGCCACCAGCATGATACTCGCACTTAGCATTTAGGTCATACTCTCTTAGATAGGGCGGTTTTACAGGTTTCATTGGGCAGGGTACAACTAATGAACTTTGGAATAAGCAAGGTAGTAACTCAGTGTAGGACATGGGAATTGGGTTGAATTGAACTTGCTTCCTCTCTTGATTGTTTTGGGGTCTTATTTGGTTGAGATTCGGGTTTTGGTTCCAATGTTGAGGTGGTCTCATGGGCGGTGCTATAGGAAAAGTAGGCGGAGCGGGTTGGTAAGGTCGTGACTGATATGATTGGGGACTTAGGTTTTGTGAAATGGCATTGACATATGGGTAAGACATATGAGGGATAGGAAATGAAGGTTGGAATTGAAAAGGTGCATGGTTGGGTCTGATGAAAGAAACTTCTCTTGGGTGAAAAGTTATGGCATTAGTTTCTCCTTCCTTCTTTTTGCCTATTCCAAATTGAGGTTTCTTTGTGTTAGTCATCCCAATAAAACTATTGGGAATCTTTCCTGTCCTCATGCCATTTTCTACTCTTTCCCCTATGATTACAATATTTGAAAAGTTTGATGATACACTTCTAATCATTCTATTGTAGAAGGGTGATTGAAGAGTATCAATAAACATAGCCACCATTTCTTTCTCAGATAAGGGAGGTTCTACCTGAGCTGCCAATTCGCGCCATCTTTGCACATACTCTTTGAATGACTCATTTTCCTTCTTAATCATGTTTTGCAGTTGCAACCTATCAGGAGCCATATCGATATTGTACTTGTACTGTTTTAGGAAAGCATCAACCAAATCTTTCCAACTACGAATACGAGTATGCTCAAGATGCATATACCAACTCAAAGCTCCCCCAATCAAACTGTCTTAGAAAAAATGAATTAGCAGCTTATCATCATGGGCATGTGATGCCATCTTCCTACAGTACATGATCAGATGACTCTTTGGGCATGTCATTCCTTTGTACTTATCAAAATCAGGCACTTTGAATTTTGGAGGAACTATCACATCTGGGACCAAGCAAAGATCTGCAGCTTCTCCAATGCCATAGTTGCTCCTCTCGATAGCTCTTAATCTTTCTTCCAATATTTGCAATTTTTCTCTGAATTGGAAGTACTCCTCTGAGTAATTGGGCTGAGGTTCTTCTAAGGTCTTATGGGAATGGAATGGTGATATGGCTAGGTTTCCATCAAGGCTAGGATTAGTGATTTGTGGTTGGTGGTGGATCGATTGGTTTGGGGTAGGTATAGTATGGGGTATATGAGCTTCTCGGGGATAGGTATTTTGAGGGTAAGCATATGATGGGATGGATGTTTGGGTTGGTTGGATTTGTAGACCTGAAGGTTGTGCAGGATTGGATTGATTTGATGGTTGGCCAGTGTTTGGTGGGTTCTCAGCTATCGGTGGTGTATAACATTGGAGAAGGCCATATGGGGGAAATTAGACATCTTGTTGATTGAAAGCTTGTTGTGGAGGCCTTTCTACATGCAAGGTCAAAGGGACCATTGTTTCATGAGGAGGAATATTTTGGGACGGTCCTTGTGTAGGGGTAAAACCTAGTGGATAGGTAGGAGTGGGTTGTGGTGGAGGTGCTTGAGTAGGGGTCCCCTCTGTGGTTCTTCTCTCTAAAGACTTCAGTGCCTCTAGGATTTGTGTCATTTGTTCCTTCAGCTGGTTAACATCGTTTCTCAAGTCTTCATTGTGCTCCTCTAACTCATCCATGATCTTTGCTTGAGCGCGAGTTCAATAAGGATGTTTTATAAAACGTTTCCCTGTTATATTTATTTAATTTTCTGAAAGAGTTTGTAGTAAAAAAAAAAGAATTAATTAAAATAAAAAATGCACTTAAAAATAACAACCAAAGATTAAAGAATCATCACAGCTATTGAGCATCTTCGAGTCTTTAATGGAAATTAATGTAGGATCCTTGTTAAATGAAACACACCAAAATATACTCCATAATCAAATCAAAACATTAAAGTACATCAGAGTTTGATTCAAAATACATCTTCTTTTTCCTACTCATACATAGTCTACCCATACCCCAAATCATTACATCACCCCTTCCTAGCCCTAGCTATCATTTCTTTCATCTCTGAGACCAACCAGTTGCAATGGCTAAGGAAGTCTTTAATTTCTTGAGGTGTCGTGCAGAAAAAAGTAGCTGTCTCGGCCTTTGACAACATATACGGGACGTCATCAATCGCGGCATTAGCTAATGATGCAAGTTGTATAAAGCACTTGATCCAATACTCAATGAGCTTATCTCCTTCTTCTATCTGACCATCTTTCACTTTCACAATAGCTTCGTACTCTTTCATGATTTTGATCACTTCCCATTTTGTCAGCATTAATTTCGGCCTCGCATGCCATGACAATTTCCTTTATTTGCTCTTCCATGTTTTGCAGTTGTGTTTGGAGTTCATTGTCTTGAGTCAAAGCTTCTTCTTTATCTCTTTTTGCCTTGTATAATGCACCCTTTAGTTGTCGTTTCTCATATAAAGCTGCATTTCGCTCCTTCACCCTCAATCCTAATTCCTTGTTTGCAGCTTCAAGGCAACGTTGAACTTTAGTTGCATGGTTTTGCACAAACTTTTGCTTCTTACAAATCTCTTCATAGGCTTGCTGTTTTTCACTGTTCTCCCTCTTCAAGATGGTGCAAGTTTGGCGACTCTCTCGAAGCTCCCTTTCTACCCTCACATTCTTCTCAATCATCTTAGCCAGTCTTGCCTTTAACTCTTTTACTTCTTCATTTTCAAAGGGTTCTGGATTATAAGGCTCACTTTCTTGGGAGGTACCTGGATCTTTGAATGGTAACTTAATCTCTTGGACTCTTTCTTTAACCCATTGACGGTAACTTGCTTTCGCTGCACAACTTCTCACACCTAGCTCTTTCCCTTTTCGAACAACCCTCGCCCAAGCATTTCTTGCCTTTTGGATAAGCTCAGTGAAATTTCCATCTTCATAATAGACAACAAAAGGAACCAACAATTCCTCAGCAGGTGGTCCCTTCATAGGATAAGTGAGCTGACGGTGTCCCATAATTGGATTATAATTTATACAACCTCTAGTATCCATAAGAGGAACATTTGGATAATTGCCGCAATGATAAATAATGGTCGTCGACTGTTGCCATAGAGTGTGCCACCTGATGTGTCCTTCATTCAAACTAGCTAAGTGATTAGCCCACTCTTGACCATTTTTCTGCCCAATCAGAAACCTCAACAAATCAGTGATTGGACATTTGATCTCACTTGGTCTTTTAAAGACATGAGCCGTGAGCCATATATAAAGCATAGGTAGACAACATATAATCTTCTTTCCTTTCCTTTTATGGCAGAAACTCAGTGTACAATAAACATCAGCTAGTATTGCAGGAACAAGATTTTCAGATCAATTTTTGTGTGCAAGAAACACATATATTGCTGCTAAATCCACAAAGTTGTCATGCTTAGGGAAGAGGACAATGCCATAAATGATGAGTACTAGGACATCTATGGAAGTTTCCCAATCTTCTTTTTATGTCAAATTATGCATGTGTCGTTCAAGAAAATCTCTTCTGAATCCCCTATTCTGATTTCTTTCTTGATAAGCTTGTTGCAACTCTGCTGGATGGATCCTTAAGACATTGGCAATAGTCGACAGAGATGCATGATGTTCCATAGGGCGATATGGCTATTGACCCTCCAAAGGCAGATCTAGAATTTGCTCAAATTCCTTTAATGTCGGAGCCAACTGAAAATCGTAAAAGGTGAAGCACCTCAATGGGGAATCATAATATTGGGCTAGAGCTGTTATGGAATCTTCTTGCACATTCACTTCCATCATTCTCAAAATATTTCCATACCTCCTTACTAAAGTGAGTTGTTGGACCATCTTCAGCTTTTTCCCAAATTCTCTCAAACTAGCAGTGTCAGCCTTTTTAACTTTCAGATGCAATTTTCTTCTCAACTCGACTGATCTCACCTCACTGTTACTTGATCCCACATTAATTTCCATTTTCTTGAATACTCAAACAACTTTGTGATTCTCAACCTATAAATAAAAAGAAAATGATGAGAAATTATTTCAAATTTTGTATTTGTTTCATTAATATAGGATCCTAGTAGCCATAAAGATTAATATTGATTCTAAACAGATAAATGTCTGTATAAGAATCAACATTAATTTTAAATGAATCGATAATCCACTAGGCTTTTACATTAATGAGACAAATATGTGATGACCATGATAGTGCGAGAACAATATGAATCATTACCCTTTTTAAGTTCTTTTTCAGTTTTTTCTTTTGATAAATCTAAATTGATACTTAAAAGGGTAATGCTTCATATGACAATGCAATGATGTAAGAAAATATGCAAATTGTCATCCTTAACCTTATTTCAAAACCGATTTTAAATTTATTACAAGTGTCACGAGGATGGCAATAAGGATGATATTCAAATAAATGATATGCAATGATATATGAAATGATAATGATGTAAGAAAAATTAATTGAGAGAATCATGTGAATCACTAGTCCTTATATTATTCCAAAATATAGTAAAAAAAATCTTCTCCCTTTTTATTTAAAACTTTAAGGCACTAATAATTCACATGATTTCTAAAAGAGTAAATAAGGAAAGAATACCCCCTTTTGTGTCCTATTTTAGGTCACCTAAAAGGTCTAACTTAAATATCTACAACTTTCTTTTACGTGTAAAACTCACAAAAGGTGGCTTGTAAACTAGAGCTAAGATCCAATCCTTGATGTTGACCACAACAGTAGGGAGTCTACTAGATGCGGGACATCAAGAAAAGGTCAAACTCTAGCTAGGATTTTCACGATAGCCAAATAGGACGTGCATCCAAAATGACAACGCTACATAACCCCTCTAATCCTAAGCATTCTCAGACTCGGGTATAAGACCTCACTCAAAGTGTGTGATGAATGTGTAAGTGGTAGTGTGTGAGCGAGTATACAAACCTTATCAACTCAACAAAAATAAAAAGCTGCAAAAATTAAACAACACGAGAATATCGCAGATTATCAATTGTCATCTAACCTAGGATTAATAACAATATCAACATGAGCATACAACGAAATATATCCACGAATAAAAGAAACATTACAATTAATTCAAATGGATAAGAAAAAGAAAGGGATTAAACAAATAGAAATAAAATTATACAAATTTGCACAATTAATTATCAAAGGCTTGACTCTCTAAAAAACTTCCCCAGTGGAGTTGCCATCTGTCGCAGCCGGGCGGTCGCAACAGTACGGTGAAAAATGTTTTCAAAAATATCAGAGGAGTCGCCACCAAAGTTTATTTTAAGAAAACCTTGAAAAAACTTTTTTTAAAAAAAATATCATGATCTTTGAAACTAAAAATGAGTTCGAGAGTCGTTTACGTGTAGGGAAGGTATTAGCACCCCACAATGTCCGTTTAAAACGGTTACCTAAAATTAATTGTGTAAATTTATTTAAATTCTGAAAAATATTTATTTAATCCCTAAACATTAATTATTTTTATTTTAGAAGAAGAAATATTATTTATTGAGATATTATTTGGGTTATTTTAAAAATTATTTTTACTTGAAGGGTACAGTTCCCACTCCTACGTATCCCCGGGTGCAATGGAGAACTCAAAGCCACGTAGTTCTATCTAAAAATTATGAAATTAGTTGATTAAAATTAAGTTTAGTAAAAGAAGATTTATTTTGAAATTAAAATTATTTTGTAAAATTATAATGTTTAGAATATAAGATAACGCAGTTATACATGTACCTACAAGAAACAATACAGAAAGTGAAGGAAGATCACACAACTATACTGCAAATCATTAAAAAAAATTTTATTCCTAAATGAAGTATTTGAATTTGAATTTTGATTATAATTAACGTTGAAAGATAATTTAAGATAATGTAAGTTATACATAAATCTCTTATAATTTATTAAACTATCGAAGGCAACGTAAATCACACATCAATATTATAAAAGATTGTATAAATAAGTAAGAAAGTGTTATTTTTTAATTTATCAAAATTAGAAATATGATTTAAAAAATTTAAAATATAAGATTAATTTCATTTTAATAAAAGAAGTAAATATATTTGAATTGATTAAAAATATACTTATTTAATAAAAAGATTAAAAATTTTATTTTTTAGATTTATATTATATAAAACCTAAGGTAACGTTGGTACACCTAGGTTTTTGATAATTCATAATGCATAAAGGTAGAGTCTCTACACATTAGCATTATGAATTATTTTGTTAATAATAAACAAAATTGATTTAAATTAGTTGATTGATTCATAAGTTAGTAACTAAAAAAAAATATATATTGATTTATTATTAAGATAGTTAATTACATTTTAAATCTACACAAAATAACAAAGAAGAATAATGCTACAATAGTAATGAATAAATAATGAAATAAATACTAAAAAAAAATCCAAGAATTATAAAAAGTAATTTACTGTATTTAATTTTTTTTTTATGAAGAGAAACACCTTTTATAAGTGGAAATAGAAATCAAATAAAATATTAAAATAAATGCTAATATTATAAAAATAACACAAAATAAAGTAAGTTGAATTTAAAGGTATATATATAAAAAAAGACAATAGACTAATTTTATTGAAATAAGTTAAAATAAATAAATAAAAAAATAATAATCAAAATGAATATATATATATATATATATATATATATATATATATATATATAATAAGCT